AAAATCGTTTTTCTTCCAAAAGTATTGTTAAGCGTAGTATGCGTATTGACGGGATTCCGTATCAAAACCCCTAACGTAAGCATCGTCAATAGACGTTTTTATACTGAGCCCGGTCTTTGGTGAGAGCTACTCACCCTGCAGTCTATAGTAACTTGTCATTTTTGGGATACCGGCCCGCCGTATCCCGTGTCTATTCATCGGAGCAACGTCACTGTTTCGACTCTTCTATACTAGACCATGCAACCATGTAATGACTCGAGGAATGCACGTAATTTAAACATCTTAATACACCATTCAAATAAACAGTAATAATTTCAAGTACGTCATTCACATAATTTCAAAGGAGTTAAATCACATCACTCGATAATCAAATCATATAAACTGGAAGCAAATTCTGAAACAATAGTAAGCACATATAGATCAAACATTAGTAATAAAGACACATATACTTTTACACGTATATACACATAGGCACTTATACGTATTTATATACTCATACATATACGTATATACTCTAATTTATAATCTATGGGTTATAAGTTTCCTCAACCCGAGGGGAGTACGCCCATAACATCATAGGTATAAACTATCGATATACATATATATACTTATATATATATATACATACTTATACCTCATAAGAGTAAAAACATTATTCAAATAATCATCATGAAATTCAATATTTCACATAATTCCTATTCAAGGGACTATAGAAAATCAAATCTCATTAGAAGTACTAGCACATAGAAGGTTTCAAGAACAACGTATCGTTCTAAATATATACTAGTCTTTTTATCTTACATATATCTACTCTAATAATGGTTCTTAGATGTGACATAATAATCTATGTAACTTAATCTATATCTATTACCATGTAAGTCATGTCTCAAGAGTTTAAACCATGCCCACAAAGGACCCCTTTAATTCTAAATAACTTGTTTTAGGAAAATCTCACAGTTTTGACACTTTAACTTTGAAATTACATTTCTCTTAAACCGTAATTCCAAAAATTCTGAAACTTTAACATGATACTCCTATATCAGTGGAAAAGACTCCTTTAAAACAGTTTTCCAAGAAAACCAATAGCCTAAGAGAAATAAGTAAAATAGTACAGTAGTATGGTCACACTTTCAGAAACAGAACCAGCCACTTTAAAAATACCCAATAAATCACCCTTTTGTTAAAACAATGTAAGACTTTGCTGAAAACTGGTTTTATAAGTTA